AGAAGAATTAATACCTTTGAATTTTGTTGCTGGTGAAGGATATTGAAAATATCATAAACAGCCAAGAGAACAAACAAATCTATCTGGGAAGAAGTACAGCCAGAATGCTCCTTAGAGGCTAAGGTGGTAAGACTTCATCTCACATCCTTTGGGCATGCTCTCAGGAAAGACCAGTCCCTGGAGAAGGACATCATGCTTGGTAAAGGAGCAGCAAAAAGAAGGCCCTCCACAAGATGGATTCACACAGAGACTGCAGCAGTGGTCTCAAACGTAAGAACAATGGTGAGGACGCTGCAGGACTGGCCGATACTCAGTTCTGTTGTACATAGGGTTGTTCTGAGTCGGAACAAATTCCAAACCCAGCAACCACAGAGCGCTGATCTGGCTGCATGTGACAAGCACCTCTAGGGCGGCGGGTCTCCACCTTCCTCATGCCGCCACCTTCAATACAGTTCCCCATGGCGTGGTGACTCCCAACCATAACATTATTTCCCTTGCTACTTTATCACTGCAATTTTGCTACTGTTATGAATCATAATGTAAATATCTGACTTGAAGGATGTATTTTCATTGTTACAAATTATACATAATTAAACATAATTAAAGCATAGTGATTAATCACACACACACACACACAAAGAAAACAAAAGACATGCTGCTGAGCAACAGTAAACACTAACCAAAGTCCAGTGAGCTAGGTCTCTAATCTGCTTTAAACGTGCCTTTCCGCACTTGGGTTGAAAACATGGACTTACTTTCGTAGCAACAAAACAACTACGACTTTTTTCCTGCGTATAAAGCCTCAAAAAAGAAAACATTTACCAGTCGGGTTGACTGGTGCACCCTCCAACTCAAATGATTCCTTGTAGATCTGGAACGTTCTAGCATCACCCCTGTGTTAGCATATTCAACCCTGGAAGATCCGAAAGACACATTTACTGAAGGACAGAGTTCCCAGGGTCCGGGGAAAAAAGGGCCAGGAACCGTGAGGAAGTGGGATAAGGGATCACCGAGTGAGGGGAGCGCAGGAAGTGAGCTGAGACGGAGCGTGTACCGATTGCTGAGTGTCAAGCTGAGGGTCTGCTCTGTGAAGCTCCGCCCAAGTGAAAACAAGCAAAACAATACATGACCTAAAAAATACACGGGAAAATGAAATTCAAACATAATGGCATTTCTCAAACTTTTGGAAGTCCTGCCTCATAGAAAACTCCTTTTGCTCCACAGAGTCCTAGGTTCAGTCATTTTAAGTTCCAAGTGAGTCAGGTTTTCCTGTGGAGTACTTACTTTGTGATCTTCTGGACTGAGCTCGAGCATTAGCACTTCTGTATTGTAGGTGCTCCATTCCCAGGTGTGGCTGATGAAATACTCCATCATCGAAGTCGTTTTTAAAAGCCGATTCATGAGCTTTGTCATCCTGAGGTAAAGATCATACGTGAGCAAATCTCAACAGTCCCAGCTACCTGTGCTCTTGTCACTGGATCACTCTCAGCTTCCTCTGTGTGAACTTGAACTCTCCTGAATAAAGAAGGGAGGACGCAAAAGGAACTTGTATCCCACATTTCAATGCCATCCTTTCTCTTCCTCTGCCCCCCAACCTGCCATCTCTCTCTAAGAATAACAAAAGGTATTTGGAAGCTATGTACTTTTGATAACATACTGCACATTCTTTAAAGTCAGAGGTAGGAAATTAGAAGTATCGCCTCTCCCCCCTCCCCCCAACCTGCATTTTATGTTATTGGATTAAAAAAAGAAAGAAACGTTAGGCTACCAGATCTTGCTACATATCTTCCTTTTGGGGGGTATAGAACTTCTGCAAAGAAGTCTTGACTATATTAAATATATAAATGAAGCTATCCGTCAACTTTGATGTAGATTTAAGGGAAAAGAACCTATTGTTGAAACATACTACTCTATGTGAGGCACGGTACTGATACTGTTAGGGAAAATGATCTCTGCTCATTTTTATAACAATTCTTCTAGATTGGTATTTATCTTTGTTTTTATGAATGAGAAAAGGGGGCTTATGATAGAACAGCTAATAAGTGACAGATAAGTAGTCCAACCCAGTTTTAACTAGCTTCAGAGCCGTGCTTCTGCCATCTTACCATCCTATGCCCCATTACATTCAATCACCTCATTCAATGCCATGATCAAGAGTTGGATCAGCGCTGCTTTGTGAGCCTCCAAACGTGACAGTAATTTATTTTAAACATTTTCAAGAGTAGAATCATACTTGATTTGTGAAGTAGTCAAAATTTATATTATTTGTCTCCAGTTTGTTGAAACATTAATATACTTAAGGCCACACAGCCAATGCTCAAAACCAAATGTTCTGACTACAAATCGTGTTCGACCTACATTGTTAGGGCCATCAAGTCAATTCCAAATGGTAGCAAATCCACAGACAAAGGATACTTTGCACTTAGGTTTCCAGGCTATGCCCTTGATGGGGGCAGAGCATCAGGTCTTCATTTCTCCCACAGTCTTGCAGGATGGGTTCAAACCACTAACCCTTTGACGAACAATTGATTTCTAAACTTTTGTACTACCAGGCCCCCTCGCCGTATTTTCTCTTTGCTACTTAGGCAAGACATGCAGTAGTGATTATGTAGTCACATCAAGTAAGGATTGCGTTGCTAGTCTGTGGATTTGGTCTTGTTATTATGAAGTGCCAATGAGTAGGTTCTGATTCATAGCAGTTCTGTGTGCAATAGAATCAAGTATTGCCTGGTGGTATGCCCTCCCCACAAGAGCACCTAGGTCTGAGCACATTGCTGCAGCCATCTCACTGAGGGGCTTCCTCTTTGGGGCTGACTCTCTTCCAAGGCTGCTCCCCTTCTCTAAAGTCTGGCAACCTGTTCCAAGTAGGAGAGGGCTTTAAGAAGCTCATGAGAAAATGGAATGAAAAATAATGGGATCTTCCACGAAATTTTGGAAGCCCCTTCATCCATGAGACAACATCTTGCCATCTTAAGGAAACTTTTGGCAGTTTTTCTTCCAGCCCATTTGTTTTGTCCTTCCGGCAGGTCATGGCACATTTAAAGTTATGAGTTGGCTGTGACGCATAGCAGCCCTCGGCACAACAAAGGAAACAGGTCTTGATGCTCTCTGAGCCTCACAATGTGTTAGGTTTGAGCTCACTGTCACAGCCACGATGCCAACCCATCTCCTAGGGTCTTTCTCTTTTTCGCTGCCCTGCCACTTCACCAAGCATGATGTCCTTTGCCACGCACTAGTCTCTCCTGGCAGCAGGTCCAAAGTATGTGAGATGAAGTCTCATCATCCTTGCTTCGATGGAGCATTCTGCCTGCACTTCTTCTAAGACCGATTTGCTTGTTCTTTTGGCAGTCCATGGTATTTTCAGTATTTTTTCTCTAGCACCATACTTCAAATGCATCGATTCTTCTTCAGTCTTCTGAGTCCTCAAAGTAACCTCCTTTTTTTCAACACTGAAAAGAAGTCTTGCGATTTACCCAATGCAATGGATCATTTGATCTCTTGACTGCTACTTCCATGATTATTGATTATGGAACCAAGCAAAATGAAATTCTTCACCATTTCTGTCTTTCCCCCATTTATCATGATGTTACCAATGCTGTTGTGAGGATTTAAATTTTTTTTTACATTGAGTTGTAATCCACACTGATGGCTGCAATCCTTGGTAACAGCAAGTACTTCAAGTTCTCATCACTTTCAGCAAGGCAAGGTTGTGTGTCATCTGCATATCACAGTTGTTAATAAGCCTTCCTTTGATCCTGCTGCCATGGTCTCTTTCTTATTGTCTATGTTCTCTGCTTTTTGGGCTCAGCACACAGATTGCACAATCAGATTGATAGGATGCAGCCCTGACACACACCTTTGCTGATTGTAGACTCTCTGATATTCCTGTTCTGTTTGAATGACTGCTGGTTGGTCCAGGTACAAGTTGTGTATGAGCACAATAAAGTGTTCTGGAATTCTCACTCTTCTCAAGGCTATCCATAGTTTGCTTATGATCCATATAATCGAATGCCTTTGTATAGTCAATAAAACACAAGTAAACATATTTTCTGGTATTCTCTGCTTTCAGCCAGGATCTATTGACATTGACAATCATATTCCTTATTCCATGGCTTCTTCATGTACAAATAGTGTGAAAGAAAAGACCATGGCTGTGATCAGTACACTTCAATCTTTAAAGTCAAAATTTAAAAAAATCATTTTATTGGGGCTCATACAACTCTTATCACAATCCATCCATCCATCCATTGTGTCAAGCACTTTTGTACATTTGTTTCCTTCATCATTCTC